TCTCGTATACCCAAATGGGCATATGTAAGATATTTGTGTGTGCAAGAGAAATTTTAATTTTCCTCACAAAGCAAGCATTGGTGGAGTTTCATCCCCTCATATTTAGGCTCTTGGTTCCCTCTTTCATTTTAAAAAAAAGGTTGTAAAAAGAATTGATTAAGTTGGAAGTTTGCTGGTCACTTACTCTGAGCTGTTAAAATGTTGAGCGAAGGATTTCTTAGATCCAATTCCTGCACCATGACATGTTTCTTGATAGTGAAGATTACATACAAGTGTTAGTGAGGAGAATGAATGTTAAGTTTCAAAAGATACATCTCCGAACCATTGTTTTTATATGGGCATCAGGATGGAAATGGGATGAATTCTTAAGGATACTTCTCTCTCCTTTATTATTATTATTTTTAAATCACTGTATACTGGTAAAGGTTTTTTTTGTCTTCAGCTTTGGGAGTTGCTGCAAAGAGTTCCTACTAGGGATAATCGTAAACTGATCTTCAGAAAGAGAAGTGCTTTTAAAATAAGCAACAGCCACAACGTTCGGCTGCCTTATTTGGCTCCCAGCCACCAGCACTTCCATCTCTGTCACTGATCCTCTTATATTTGGACTTTGGTTTGCAACCCCTCCTATCTGGACTGAGCAGCTGAGGGTTGCCCAAAGGGAGGTTCTACGTGGCTGCGGAGGGAGATTCCAAGTGCATCACAGATTGTATTTCCCTCTTGCACAACTTGGGGTGAGTCTCCAGCCCACCATGTTGTACACCTTGGTGTGCCTATGAACTGAACAGCATTTACTCTGAGCTGCTGACCGATCTTTGGAAGAAGGAAGAGGAAACACCCCCCACCCCCGAACCCTGCAATTTTTTCAGATCACTAAACCCATGTCCAGAAGAAGACTCATCTAAGAGCTGGATCACGCTGTGCCGTGTAGGAGGTATTTCGCTTCCCTGTTGACTGCTAGGCTGATTCCTGGCTTGTCTGGCTGTCCTTATGTTTGTGATACCCTTAATAAAGTTTTTTATTTTTTCATTTTCATAACAAATGACCACGTGTAGACTATTACATAACCAACATAATATATTATTAAATGTTTACATCAATTCGTCTTACCATCAACTCCCAAAAACAATTATTGGCTCTTCTGCTCTCCGTTCAGCATATTTGTACCTTATCCATCACTTTCTTCTCCCTCTCTCCTCCCTCATTACCTCCTTTCTTCCCTCAGTCGTCCTTCTCTACTTCCCCTTCCTCTCTCCTTCTCCTCTCTCCCCTTTCCACTCCTTTCTCTATTCCTATTCCCCCCCCGCCCTCTCTCCTCTCCCTCTCTTCTTCCCTTGCCTCTCTCCTCTACTTCGCACTCTTCATCTCATTTACTTGGTGTATTTCAGTTTGTGATACTCTTAGAAGTGATCAGAGACTCATATTTGTCATGATATTATCTGAGGGCCAATGGAAATACGCCAAATACATATCAAGAGCTTATAAGGAACTCTTCCTTTCAACAGGAAATAATTTGCTTCTTCGATCCAGTAGGCTGGCATTTTCCCATGAACACCGCCTTTTGTATCAGGAGATTCAATTTTACGATAGAAATTGCCTGATCAATTTGCAAAGCAGATTTGCAAAGCAGAGAAAACCATCAAGGCCATATTTTTAATGCCCCAGAAGAGCCTGTTAGATGACTTGGTCAAGTAAAGCAGGTTAAATGACAACGCCTGCAGCTCTAGAAAAAAAGGATGCAAATTCACTCCTCGCTTGTTCTCCAAAGGTTTTTAAAGGGCATGTTCTTATAAAAGCAATTTCATAATAGGTAATACTGAGTGAAATAGCCAATAATAAAAATAAACTCCCCGTCCTTCATTGATTGTTGAATTGCTGTTAGGATATGCTCTCGTTTGGGCTTGGCAGCCTAGCTTGTAGCCCATGATGCAGGTAATGCAGCCATAGATTTGGAAGGAGAGGCTCACGAAGGGGATGGGGCAAGACAAACTGCTTTGCTACGTGTTTAAGCTTGCTAATTACAGGTAGTCCTCGACTTATGGCCACCATTGAGCCCAAAATACTTGTTGCTAAGGGAAACATTTATTATATGGGTTTGCCCCACTTTATGACTTTACTTGCCACAGTTGTTAAGTGAATCACTGCAGTTGTTAAATTAGTGACAGTTGTTAAATGAATCTGGCTTTCCCATTGACTTTGCTTGTCAGAAGGTCGCAAAAGTGATCACATGACCTCGGGACACTGCAATCGTCATAAATGTGAGTCAATTGCCAAGCAGCCAAATTTTGATGGGGACGCTGCAACAGTCGCGTGTGAAAAATGGTCACAAGTCACTCAGCGCCGTTGCAACTTGGAACGGTCACTAAATGAATTGTAAGTGGAGGCCTACCTGCAATGGATTGATTAATAAGATAGCGCTTTCAACAGCCGTAATAAATCATGGAAAATAAAACATACCCTGTTACAGGTGGGATTCCAAATCTTTTCCTACTGGTTCTGTGAGAGGGCGCTTTGTGCGCACGCTCAAGCGCAGCACTCAAAAGACCACTCTTGGTGTTAGTGCTGCTGATCTGATCTGCTGTGTGAATTAGCTGAGCTAAAAACAAGGGAATATAGGGAATGATGGCGGGGAGGAGGGCAGGACCAGCCAGAGATGGTATTTGCCGGTTCTCCGAACTATTCAAAATTTCCGCTACCGGTTCGCCCGTCCTGGCTGAATGCCACCTCTGCAAAAGAAATATTTACACAAGAGTAGCGGGGGGATGGCTTTTAGGGGGTACCCCAAGTACCCATCTAGTCACCAGGAATCAAACTTCATCCTGGTGGATTGTACTTCAAAAGAATGCAACAAATGACATTTACCTTTCGTGAATTAAACTATTTCTACTTCATGAAGCATGAGTAGCTGATAGCATAATTTAATAGACTGTCTTCTGGAAACAGGCTACTGAGCAGAAATATTCCCATCTTAATTTCAGTATCATCCAATCCTAAGGATTAAAATAGACCAACGTACTCTCACACATATTTAACATATTTAAGTAGGGTGATATGTGGATCTGGGAAGATCAGAAGGATGTCACCTACTTGTAATGCAGGCTTTAACCTTTTTCTTGGCCTTGAGTTGTAATCTAATAGCAACAAAGAAAAATGTAGGTCAGTACTTTACTGCTTGTTAGTCTACTCTAAAACATAAAGATCAGACAGGTGAGTTTGGAATTAGATGTACTTTTATTTATGTAGGCACAGCCACCAAAGAAGCAGAGTTAGACACACAGTACTTTTGGTTACAAATATGCATTTCATGTTAACGATGGAAACCTGTTTTTCTCCCCAAAACAGCATTTCCTTGGAGCAGTGGGTAGGGAGTGAAGGTCAGTTGTAGCTAGAGCCAAAAAATCATCTTATTTCTTTCACCTTGTTTCTGTTTCCACCAATCTCTCTCCTTTTAAAACAATTACTTTACTTGTGGAGATGCTACCAAGAAAAACAGAAATAGCTGTTAGTCTTCTTGAATTGAATTTTGCTTCTTTGGAAATTAGATTGAAGATGTCAGCTGACCACTTCTGATGTAATACACTGAGAGTCTTTAAGAGGATATCAAATCCGTTTTGGGAGGTGGGGAATGGCAATAACTGAGCAGATTAGATGGAAACATCTCCGTAAAACACCAGGGATTAAGAAACTGGGATTTGTTATTGATTTCATGCTTTGCTCCCTGGTATTAAACTATGATATATTTAGAAAGCAAGATCCAAATTGACTGACAGGTGCTTTATCTGGTGTAATTATAAGAAACGGTGTACACAATAGAAAGGGGATCTAGTTTTTAAACAACTGTTTTGGATTATATAGCACGGTGGCCTGTGGGGGAGACAAAAGGCAGAAATAATGCTGCAAGTGCAGTTTTAAGGGGCATAATTCCAACAAGGATTACAAGGATAATTACATCTGATTTTTAAAAAAACTTTTGCCTTTTGTTCCACTGTTAAAGGCAGAGGGGATGCTTGCCAGGAAAAAAACGGAGATGGCAACCATTATGCATATTACTCATGCTTCAAAGTGTTAACAAAAAGTGGCCATTGGCAGAAAAGAAAATCTGCAAACTTTATGGGTAGGAGGGAAGACAGAAATGAAGAACACACCCATACAAATAGTCTACTGGAAGTGGCTTTCAGCAACCCAAGTGGAGTAGATAAGGCTCACAGTTTAAACAAACATGTCCCCACTGTTCCCACTTTCACCAACCCGCCTACTTGGTGAAAGTTGGAAATAAAATTTGTGGAGGATGATTTTAAAGGCAGCCTTTGATCCAGCCATCTTAAGGGCATCCACAGTTGGGGAAGGGAATTGTCACATTTCAGGTTGCTACTAATTTAATCAATCAGATATTTGTTGGAGAAGCTGGGAGAAAAAAGAGTCTTGTCAGTGAGATCGGTACATATTTATGAGTGGAACCTAGTGGATTAAGATGTGAGTTTACTAGGGGGGGTGGGCAAATTGTTCTACCTTTAGAGCAAATATTCTTAGCTTATTCTGAAAAAATAGCAAGTAGCACACTTGGGCAAACTACCAAATAAACACCCAAGATATCGGATTGGTTGCAACCTGAGCCAAACCCAGTTCAGCCCAGTGTTTAACCCTGATAACATTCCGGCCTATCAGTAGAGAAGGACATAAATCAAGTAAAATCATACCGGAGTAATTCTTGTAGCTAAAATTATCATGTGAGAGAAATGGATTGGCTAGAGACTTATGTTAATGTAGTCTTACCGTGAAACCAGCTTGCTGTAGTGGTTAAGGCATCATGTTAGAAACCTGGAGATTGTGAGTTCTAGTCCTATCTGAGGTACGAAGCCAACTGGGCGACTTTGGGCCAGCCACTCTCTCTAAGCCTGAGAAAGTGGACAATGGTAAGACACTTCTGGGTGGGGGGGGGGGAATCTTGCCAGGAAAACTGCTGGGACTTGTCCAGGCAGCCTGTGAGAATCAGACAGGATTGAACGGAAGGAAGGGAGGAGAGAAAGACTTGTAATAAAGTAGAATTAGTTCATCTACTTGTGTTTCCTGTCTGGTCTCCCTGGTAAGGCTGACATCAGTCTTATGCATCTGAAAATAAAATTCTCCACTGTCTCCTTTACTTCCTGAGAAATTAAGGGTGATCCCTTCGGAGCCTCTTGTATAACCCACTATCCAGCTGCAGCCCATGCTGTCTCTTATCTGACTGGTCCCTAGGCAGCATCTCTGGGCCCAGACTTCCAAGGTCTTCCCTATATAACCATTACAGTTGGACAGCAGCATTGATTCTTTGTATTAAGCAGCAATTTTTTTGGTTGGTCCCTAGATTTAATGCTAGAGGGACAAATTCTTGTCAGATTAAATCTGCTTCCAAAGCAGTTCTGTTGTGTAGCCCCAGCACGTGTGTGAGTCTAGTCCGTCAGAGGATTGTGCTGAGCGTATTGTCTTCATCCACCTCCTTCTCCTCGGGTTGCAATGAGCTCCTGGGAACCGGCAGGGATTTGAGGTATTCCAAGTGACGCCGGGATTCGGCTTGGTTGCGCCGGATATAATAGATGACATAAGTGATAACGACACCAAACCAGACAAACATAGTGAGCAGCATTGCAAAATCGGTGTTCTTCTGATGAGTGACGCAGAAGTTGACGCCAGTACTGACCAGATGGGACAAAGTCTTCCCAACATACTCCTTCCAAGTTGCGGTGGTGCACACAATGTCTTCCGCTGTCTCGGCGCCCAAGGAAAGAGCCTTTATCAGCTCCTGCAGGGAGCAGTCACAATGCCAGGGATTGTTGTAGAGTTCTAGCCTAACCCAGGTCAGCATGACGAAAGGAGCGGGGTCTATTTTTCGCAACTTGTTCCCTGACAGGTCCAGGAGCCTCAGGGCATTCCCTAAGCCATGGAAGGCTGCTGGAGAGATGCTCTCGATGAGATTGTCCGCCAGGTGAAGTTCATGGAGGAGTTTCAGGCCATGGAAGGCCCCGCTGGATATGTGGACAATCCAGTTAGAATCTAGGTACAATACTAGCGTGTCCTGAGGAATGTCGAAAGGGATAACCATCAGGTTTCTCCAATTGCACCACACCACACCGTTTCCTGGCGGGCAGTCGCACCTTCGAGGGCACAGCTGATGGCCATGCAAGCCGTGGATCAGGAACAAGACGACAGACCACACCGACATTTCTGCAGTGAGATCCTGGCTCACAGGACCAGAACTCTGATTGAAAAGCAAAGGGATGGGAAGAAAGTAAATGAAAGTGATAAAGGTCCTTACAATACATTTAATGCAGCGCTGCCAAAACTCACAGCCCGCAGGCCAGGTGTGGCCAGTGCACACACCAACTGGGTGTGGGTGTGTGCACTGGTCACACCCATTCCCGGTTTAGTGAAGGTGGAAAAATCGTGATACATCACTGTGATGATGCGAGTTTGACACCCCTGATTTAATGGGTTTATTTTGACAGTAGCTGTGATCATATGACTTTAAGCCGTAAAGCTTTACTAATAGCAATAGCAATAGCAATTAGACTTATATACCGCTTCATAGGGCTTTCTGCCCTCTCTAAGCAGTTTACAAAGTCAGCATATTGCCCCCAACAACAATCCGGGTCCTTATTTTACCCACCTCGGAAGGATGGAAGGCTGAGTCAACCCTGAGCCGGTGAGATTTGAACAGCCGAACTGCAGAACTGCAGTCAGCTGAAGTAGCCTGCAGTGCTGCATTTAACCACTGCGCCACCTCGGCTCTATCTACTAATAAATGGGCACATACAATTTTTTTGTCTGTTATGAGTTATATTACAACAGTTCATTTAGTGACTATTTAAGGTTACAACCGCTTTTAAAAATGTGACTTATGACCATTTTTTCATAGTTATACCCTTGCAAATAATCATGTCCCCATAATAATCAAATAATCAATCCCCATAATAATGTGATCGAAATTCAGATGCTTGGTAGCTGGTTCATATTTATGTTTATAAATTTATTTTCCTTAAACCAAAAATAGTTAATATTATGAAAATGGAAGATAAGAAAGCCCCGAATCTTATGCGAGGACAGTAAAATGGTGTCATAAATATATACTAACCTATTAAGCTTTTGGTCATACATGTATGCAAGCAGATTTTCCATTTTGCAAATTTTTCATTCTTATTTCAACAAAATGTAGGTCTGATTTTTAGTGGCAGATCTTGGTGATTCCTATAGGTATCTACCCCAAAGTAAGCCTGATTTAATTCCAAAGTGTTCATTTCCAGGTAAGTGAATGCGATTGTCAAAAGAAATAATTTTCAAAATTCTCTTTCATTTTTTATAATTTGGGCATGTTGACTGATGTTCTTGCTTTAGAGATCTCTCATATGCCTCCAGCTATTTTTCTTCCCAAATTCAGCAATGGAAAGGAAAAGGAAAAATGTATATTTGGCATTGGAAATATAGATTCATAATTGAATCCGAACTGCCAGTGGAACTTATAACTCAGTGATTAGGGGAGAGAAATTCAGATGAAGATATAAAAGACAGGATTTATTTAAAAAACCCTAATATGATAATAATGGTAGAAATTGAAATATCAGATTAGTTAGTAATAAATATAGGTAAACAAAGATAAAAAATGAAAGATTGATTAAGAAGCAGGTTAATTATCCTGCTCAATCTGCTTCGGATGTTGATTATTTTCTTTCTGAATATTACAAAAAGAAGCTCATATATTTACAGTACAACACTAATATCTTTTGATTTTTATTTCCTAACCTTGCTTATATGCTTGCCAGATTTAAATACCTGCTCTTGTGCCTTTAATAGCAGCAACATATGATTCTTTCTCTGCCAGGAAATATTCCCCTTTTGAGCTGCTACACACAAATTGCCACCACAGACGCAAAGTTCATAAGCCCCGTGTTTCCCAGTCATCTTTTTGCTGATTTAGAACATTACAATATATATTTTTTAAAATAGTTTGCTACCGTTGTTATATGCTCCAAAAACAACGCATCTGTATCATCAGTTTTAAAGGAATAAATGAACACCAACGTTTTGCTCTGCCTTTGCTGGGAACAGATAACACTGATGCTTTTCTATCTGCGTGTGATTTTATGATCAATCCATACCCAACACATTTTTGGTTAGCCAAGATTGATCAGACAACGCCAGAGCCATTGTTCAGCCATTTTTTGTCTTTCAGCTATTTTACGGAAATACGTGAAGGTTGAAGCAGCATAGTAGGTTGGAGGATAGTAAATTGAAGAGATGTTTTTAAAGATTTCCATAACATTCCTAGTATGAGGCAGAACCAAACAAAACTTTTCTTAGGAGACATCATCAAGGTGTTGGGTATATCATCTCTGGCTAACTCCTATGTCCATTGATTTGATGGGAAACCTTGGAAGTACCCCCCCCCTCTTTTCCAAATCTACAGTATGCATTGTGCTTTTATGCTATGCTTGTCTCCCACTGAGTTTGAACACTGTTAGATGTGCATAGGTTTAGGAGTATAGCATGTGGATGCACAATTGTGACCATTTATATGACCAGCAATAGGAAGATACTGGCTAAACTACCTAATCCAGGACTATACAGTATTACAATTGTCTAAAATTCATCTGGCCTCCATGTTTCTAACTAGGGTGTGTAAACATTAAGGTGGGGCTTTGTGTATTGCTTTATTTAGCTGTGGACTGGATCGTGTTACACTGCCCACTGTAACATACCTCCCAACTTTTACCTCCTGTAAATTTTAATTCTGATGAATCGTGATGCAAAAAGAGCATTGACTAATCCAGGTCTTGATGTGATGCAGAAGAGATCACCTGCTGTGTGTCTGCATCAAACCAGATTAAAGACTCTTGGGTGAAGTAGCCCAAATTATTAGTTGATACCCACATCACCTAAACCACCATGCCACACTTACCTGCATGAACAAGGTGCTTGAATCGGTCTGTCTGTCTGTCCCCCAACTAATGGAGCCTGAAGACAAGGGAGTCTCCCAGCCTTACCTGCAGCTTCTGCTTTGGCTTCCTTTCAGGGATGCAGGAACCACAAACCCCACAGATCAACTTCTCCCAGGATGTCCTCTCTCTGTCTACTGTAGTTCCCTGCCTGCTGTCCATCAGCTAAAGAGCTTGAGACACGTGACTTTGTGAGTGGGAGGAGGAGAGAGAGAGAGAGAGAGAGAAAGAGAGTGCCCCTACCAGACTGCAGGAGGTGTGGCAGGGAGAGCTGTCATCTTGTGTTTGTAATACACAAACACAAAAACAGATGAAGCAGTGGCCTCCTCCCATCTCACCCCAGAATTGGACATCATAACTTTTTGGACTTTTTAATG